TAAAATAAAGAGTGCTTGGTCCCAGCTGAGCTCCCCCTCTTAAAGTTAGGACTTTTCCTTCTTGCTTTTCCCTTGCTTTCTCCCTCATGTAGTAAGGAATTGAGAGGCAGGAAGCCAACCCCCAAGCAAGTGGATAGATATAATCTTAGGGTAAGTACTGCTATGAACTTCCTTTGTGTATTGGGAGTGTAATAAGGCTTCTAAGCTTCTAGTTTTCCCTTGCTAGTCTTAGATTGAACCATTCTCATTGCCTCTGTCCTTCTATCTAGAGAGATAGATGGGTCAAGTCCTTACTTTCTTCCTTCCTAAGGTCAGGTTTTTCTTACTTGTTTTCGTTAGCTCATCTTTGAATCAAGAAGCGCATCTTCAAGTGCCTCTTAAATGATTCTCCTAGTGATGTTAATATCATTCGATCGTCTTGTGTTACTATATCCTCATCCTCTATCGGACTCTTATGTCTTAGCTTCTTCTCTTAGTCCTATCGTCCTGTTGTTAACTGTAATTTAGAGGAGCCGGCTAATAACCAATTAGCTCGTCTGGCTGGTAAAGAGGGAATAGCTAGGAGGCTTTCCTCTTCCTAAATAGGGATATGGCACTTCGTGTTGTCAGTTAGCTACTGCTGCTGGATTACTCAAGGTTGAGTCATCAATCACTTTACGAGGTTATCCTTTATATAGGTACGAGCGTAAGGGTCTTGCCTGTAGGTTTAGAGCAATAAAGAATGAATGCATTAGAACGAATTCGATCTAGCCAGCTCTTGATAGTAGCTCCCCTTTCTAGGGTTAGCGCACGATAGGAATGAATTAAACAAACAAATAAGATCTATTGAGTGAGAGCTATAGAAGAGAAGGCCAGGCCAGAAGAGAATGTCTTAGCTGGGAGCGGTGATTGTTCTTGTAGTCGGATAGGGCGCAAGGGCACTTTCGGGATGTTTAACCCTGTTGCGTAGGCGGAATAGAGTAGCTTGTTGAATTCCCAAAAACGGCAAGACTCTCAATCTTTGAGACCGTGGGCCTCAACGTTCACTTCAATCGCAAGTCTTGACTTGAAGACCCTTGAGCTACAGCACTAAGCCAAGGAAGGGCAAAACATCGGGTCATCCTTTTTCGTCGAATGTCCCGGGCCCGATTTAGAGAAAGAACTTTTCCTTTGCTGCAGGGCCGGGCATTCAAGCGCAGAGATGGAGATGGCTCTGCTGCGATAGAGGATGAAGGAGAATCCGTAGGCAACTGGTCGTTCCTAGAAGATGATAAAGATGCAGGCTGCTCTTTATAAGAGCGAGGTGCAAGTGCTGGCTGCTCTTTAGAGGGCTGCGACCCCCTTGGGACTCTGACTCCCCCTGATGCACGGGAGGCGCGGGAAAAACCACTGATCCAGAAGATGCTGATCCAATAGGCGCCTACTAAAAAAAGGGGGAGTAGAAGAACTCGTGCTCATGGAAGGTAACATGCCGGCTCGTTGAATGGCTTAACCGGGACTTAGACTACATTTAGGAGAATAGACTCACCGGGAACACATTCACTACTGGGCATTGACATCTTAATGCGTTGCAATCTGGACATTGATCGATCTTTATGCTTCCCAACAGCTATACAATCCAAATAAATCGGCTACCAGTACCTATACGCTCGAGGTCTTGAGACCGGGGAGCCCCAGTGCAGGGCCAATTTCAGTGCCGGTTGGAGACCTGGTTCGAGATGCATATCTTGAAAGAGAGCCATCACCTCGCCCAACATCCCTTCCTTTTCAATAGTCAATTCGAGAGCCAAATCAAAAAGCTTAAGAAGCAGTTGATCTTGATCCAATTCCCGATGCATGGGGCGAAATGCTGGTTGAAGCCCCCGAATGGGAACCTATCGAACGGGAATGAGTAGTAGTGCTGCTTGCTATAAATATCTTTTTGAGGACGTCAGAAATTCTTGTGAATTATGAATCTTCTTCGATTGATGGATAACAACAATAAAGTGGGAAAACGATTTCAAAAGATGCTTTCGAAGTGAAAGTGAATTATATCAGATTATCCACCCTGAAAGCGAGAGCTCGAGGCGGTGGGAAAGGAGAATCAACAAGATAGGATGCTCTGTCCCAAAGAGTAGGAAGATTCCAGCTTTGAATCTTGTGCTTGACGGTGATCATTTCTGCCACGTCATAGAAGTCCTTTAGTGCTTTCTCTTTCAATGGGGCCTTGCCCCTTCTTACTTTCTTTATGATATCGGGGAATTTGTTCTCTTGGTCCGGTAACTCCATAAAGGGCTGGTGGGTGGGGGTAGAGCCTCTAGCGCCAATGTCGATGAATCAAAGGTGTCTGCTTATGGTATGGAATAGGAACAGCAAGAATGGAACCGCTATCGCTTGTGTCCTATCATCCGCGCCTCACTTCTTTCATTCGTCAGTATGGGTAGGTAGAGTCCTTTGCTCGTATGCTTATACTATAGTAGCACCAGTCTTCCTTCCTTTTTAGTGCACATGAAACGGAAACCCTAACAGGGACTACCCACAC